TGACTGCCGCTCTCGCTCTCTCTCATACTTATTTAACGGCACTCCCGCCATGTTTCGTCTCTTTGTCTGTCTGTGGCCAGCGCTGTAAATAGGCTGTTAAGTTTTATGTTACGCTTAAATTACTGTAACTAAACGAAATGCGCTCATTTTTCGAGTGCCAGCGAGTAAATAAAATTTAATATGTATTAATGGCAAATGATACTATTTTTTTCTTTTTCATGCTACTAATTTTGCAGCACATGTTGGCTATTTGATCTTTTCAATAATCCATGTTAATTTTAAGTTTTAACATTTAAGAGCTTAAGGCAAAGCAGGCGCGCTTGCGCCACCCCACGGAAAAAGTTCATTTATTTTAATGCATTTTACTAATTACTCACGGAAACAAGCAAAAGCCACTGAGGCTCCCCCACAGCGCAAATTAAACTTTTTGACTAACACGAAGTTTTAGTCGGTCCATTTAAAGCGAAGGCCACATTTCACTTGCTAGCACAACTTTTTGGGCATTTAATTAGTGTGTTTGTATGCGTGTGTGTGTGTATGTGTGTGAGCGAGACAGGTGTAGAGGAAAGGGTATGTGCATGAGTCTGTCTGCCTGTGCTTTCAACAACCCTTGGGCTTTGAGCTTTGGTCAATTTCAATTTGTTTTAAAACGTGAACAAAAAGGGAAAATCAAAAATGATGCTCGAAATTAAAATGTTTGCGCTCGCATAAAAATTGCTTCACTAGATTTTCATGGGTTTTATTCCGTTTTGTCGCTCTTCTGGAATTCCTCACACATTATTGGCATTTCGATTATTGTTTCGGGCTTTTGGAAAGTTTCAATTAAATTGCTTATAGAACGACGCTATTTTTATTGCAGCAATTCAGCTAAAACAATTTTAATTCTTTTGCCTCTTGTTTGGAATGGAGTTTGGCAGAAAAATTTGGGACTTAAGGGCGGGTCTTTTCCAATTAAAGCAAATAAAACATTAAGTCGTTAGATAAAAAAATTAAAGACCATCAAAAAGGAGAGATCGAAAAGATCAGTTGTGGAAAGTAGCTCGCCGTTGGGTATATATTTTCGTATGTTTTTCACCTGGGATTACAATCGTAGGGTATTACGATTTTGTTACAAATGTATTGCATCGCTGACTCTATCGAGATAAAATTGTATATTGTATATTAATATGAACCTACGAAACATACACGTTCCTTTCTCATCTGAAATCATTTCATTTTGCTAATCCTCTTTGTTTGGTGTCCTTAAACGTTTTAAGGCTGTCATAAAATGTTTTATTGAAAAATAAAGAGTCAACGCATGTTTCATGCCTCAATTTCTCATACATACACACACAATATAATTTTGTTTAGCCTAAAAGTACATTTTTAGTATCTTGCTTCATAATTGGACTATGTAATATCGTACGATAAGGCTAGTTACTTACGACACAATCAATTTTGGGTTCACTTCGCTCCATTTGGTGGCCGCCGAGGTTGTTGTGTCAGCTTTAATCAATTTGTTGCAAGGAGTTAAGCCTGCCGCATCGAATTATAATGACATTTGACTATGCACATAGTAGTATATAAATATATAGATATTTAGATATATACATATATCGTACTTGTACACTCGCTGCGATGGCTAATCTCATCAAATTGCGTTGTTGTTATCAACAGGCAACGCCTTGCACAGGCCACAGGCATCCTGCCACAAGCAGCTGGATGTCCAGGACTCGGACCAAAACTGCCCATTTTTATGGTCACTCAAATGCGCATAAAACCTAGTATGTGTGCGTGCGAGTGTGTGTGTGTGTGTGCGAGTTTGTCGTTGTCTGGTTTCAGCTCATATTTACGAGTCTTTCGTTTTTTCTAGATGCTTGTCCTGGCTCTGACGATGCCAAGCTGCTGATTAAACTTTATGGCAACTTGCTGAATCAGTGCTTTCCGGCAACATGCCCCGGCCAGCATATCCACCATTTCCATGTGCCCTAAACCCATGCCATTTCCCCTTCCCTAAGTCATGCTCTGTCACACGCACACACACACACACACACACATGACTGCCTAAATACAATAAAATAAAAAATTCCATTTTTATGCAACAAATTTGCCGACTAATTTATGTGTGACTCGGCGAATGTGCAGGAATATCCCTAATCAGAATACACTCATTTGGGGCCAACCAGTTCCGGGATACCCATCTGCGTTTTGCTGTGTTTATATATATTTTTATTAAATTATTTACAAAATGCATTTAAATTTTATTTGCCACATGTGCTGCCAGTGTTTCGCCAAATGTGAAATTGTCCCCATGTTTCCATTGTCCGGCGTGTCCGGCCCGCCAGTTGAGGGGCAACAGCTGGGGCTAAACAAATTGAGAATTGATTCTTTATAGACCATTAGTTTTGATTATACAATAGTGTTTGGCTGAACGATATTAGGCAGCCAGCCGTAGAGCTGGGGGGAAGGCATACTACGACCAAGACCAAGGTCTTGGGCTTAGGGTACGGGCTCAGCTCCTGGCCAGACGATGTCGGCCAGGACATTCAATTGAACGCTTCAACGCCTATCGACAATTTTGTGCCAAAAATTATGACCGCTGCCGGCACTGCTATTATATCCACCATATATGTTCGTTCCGAATGCTATGTAGTTCTATCACCCTCTCCCTCTCTCGCTCTCTCTCACCAAGCCTTTCTCTGTCTCTCTCTCTCTCTTTCTAGTTACCATGCACTGTGTCCATGTACATGATAAATTCGGGTTTATTTATCGGCCTGCTCAGTTGCTAGCGGACTAGAGCTTCGCCTATTTCAAGCTGGGCGGAAGGGGAGTGGCGTATGTGTGTCTATGTGTGTGTGCGTGTGTGTGCCTGTTGTAGTTAATGGCGTGGGTTGTTCAGATACATTAGGCAGTAGCCAGAGATTGGGCGCTGTTGCAGCTGCTGCTGGCGTCGGCTTAAAGTTTTCATTGCAAATGGAAAATATATTAAAAAGTGCAAAAATACTTATCGATTTTACTTGAAAGCTATAAAAGCTTTGACAACTAAAAACTAACCAGAAGATTGACTTTGTTCAGCGCAATAAGTATATAAATTATTAAATATGTGACTTATCTTTAAGTTCTTTGGAGCTAAAACTTTCTTAGACTGGCTTGGCTGTGCAGCTTTTTCAAGAACCTAACGTTTCTATCATCAGCAGCAACCGAGTCTGAGTTTTAAAAAGCTTAAGTTTGCTGAGAATTACGAGCGATTGTCAAAAAGGATTACATCACATACGCAAGAATTATTATATTGTGCATTTGAATAAGAACTTCTAAGCTAAGATATAATCGTATAGGAAGCTTATTAAAGATTGTTATTGCAACATATTTGTGGAAACTTTTATATAAAAGAAGTAATTTAAATAAAATGTTTGCATTTCGGTATTTCGATTTCATAACTTGGTTAATGTAAATGTGTTGAATATTTACCACAGTCAACACACACTATAACGTATCTCTCTATTATAGACATTTGTTTTTCCGACTCTATAAAACTCTTTTCGCACAATTTGTTTAATATTCTGTTCTCTGATTTCTGTAAAAACAAACGCTTTTCGCAGTCGTACTCCATTATATATGAGCACCACAGTATACATTCCCTATAACAACCGGGCTAAAAGTAGTTCCTACTATCTAGTATTTCGATAAGAAATAACCATAATTTTGGGTCGCAAATTTGGTTTTTACACCTCAGCTCAATCAGTTATCGAGTCCTCTCGTGTGCTTTATAGTGAAGGGCTACTGTAGTTTACTGATTTTGATTGGTTTTCGCTGTACGCTTTAATAATCCATGCAAACAGTGTATTACATATGTATATATGCACTCATATCTGGACCTAAAATTGGCAATATTAAGCAAAAATTGTTGCAATATTATTGCGCTTCATTTGGTCGAATTGATTTTCATTTGTTTGCGCAATTCCAATGCACACTCAAATAGCATCCGCTGGCAGGACGAAAGGACATTCACAGGGGCAAAACAAAAGAGAAAAGCGAATAAAAAAAATATAGACAGAACAACAGACATAAATTGTCAATAACAATTTGTAAAATTGTTTTACAACCAAATGCGAAAACAAACACGCGGAGAGAAATAGAGATAGCTATAAATTGAGTGCGACAGAGAGAGAGGGAGAGAGAGAGACGGGTTTTCATTTGATTATCCTGAATTTCCAATTGCCATGTTTACAGTTGCAACAGCGAGAAAAGTAGAGAGGGTAGGGGGACACAGGTTGCAGGACTATAAACAATATCTCATTTCAGTTTAATGATGCAGCGCCCGAAAGTGGGCGGGGTTTGGGGGTAGGGCACAAAGCGCATAATTAAGTTGGATCAGAAGTGTTGGGAAATTGTACTCTATTTTTCTAGCTGTGCGGGGAGTGGGTGGGGAGATCTCTGGCATAGTTCGGTGTTGGTTTACCTGGTTGGTAGCCGGTGCCGCGTCGGAATTTCAAATGACAAAATCCATGGTATTGTCCAGCAGCGTGTAGGCGCAGCTGTGGCGCCTCCAAACGGTGGCAGCTGCACGTGGGCGAAAGGTATTCAAAATATTTAAGTCTAAATAAAATGCGTTTATATGTATTTTAGTTAGTATTAACTTTGTTAGTAGTTATTTAGTATTTATTTGTAGCTTTACTTTTCACGTACGTTTTTTCCGCATAATTTATCAATTTAATTTTCATTGATGGCTTAAAACTCGTCATATTTTTTTACCTTTTTGACAGCGTTTTCCACATATATATATATTTTTAAATACATATATCTGTATATTTTAGCTGCATTCTATTTTCAGTTTAGCTACAGCAACTAAAGCTAGTTCGTCAGTTAATTACAATTAAATGCTTTAATTACACAATTTTAATGTAGATATTATATATATATTTATATATATATATAATTTTGCTTTTGTTGTTGTTTTTGTTTTTCGGTTTGGGGATTATTAATTATTTATGATATTTTACATTTAACAGCCTTATTATTAGCATTTATTTCGCTTATCCGGGGGATTATTACACATTGCACCGTTAGCTAATGAATCTTTAATTATTGTTTAAGTGCTGCTGGATTTTAAGTACAATTCTAAATGTTTGTTTATTAGGTGAGTTGTTATTTAATGTTTCGTTAGGGTTTGCTATTCTCATTGTTTTTCTTTATTTTTGGCTCAAAGACTTCAGATTTCGTACTAAAAATTACATTTATCTTTACTTAATAAAACTACTTCGGTGCTATTTGGTTTGTGTGTGGGTTTTGTTTATATAGTTTATATCTATATTATTTACTTGCTTAGCTTTTTGGTCGAAATGCCATATTCCATATGCTTTATAAGGTTGAAATCTATTTACAAGCCATTATGTATAATCGAGCATAATCGAGTTTTTATACACACACACACACACACACACACACCTTTCGTTGTTGTTGGCTTTCTGGGGGTGGAGTGGGGTGGGTTTTTAGTATAGAACTTGCATTACGGGTGAAAGTCTAGTCTAGATATTGGCCGGGTGTTAAGAGGGCAGCGGCTTACCTAGGGTGCAGTGAGGGACTTACTATAGAGTTTTTGCTAACAGTCACAGAGAGTTCTCTGCAGGACTGTAAACACGCTGCAAAAATTTTCAATTTATATTTATCTAGTCTGCAAATATGTTAAGTTAAGTTATCTATCCGCTTGACGACAGTTTCTATGACATACGGTTCGGTTAAAGTTTAAACACATAAGTATCAACTTTCTGTTAAAATTTGGCATAACAAAATACTTAGAAAACTTAACATGAAACATGCAACTTATTGTTCTGTTAACTTACATGTCTTGATAAAACTATACATCAAGTGACTGTAAGCAACAGAGTGTTAATGTTGCCCTGTGAAAGTACGTGTTTCTGTTCGGGAGAGCTTTAACATTTCTCTGCTAATGTCACACTGTATCCAGCACGGAACGTTAACAATGCATAATAAATGCGTTAGCATCACCTTAACAGAATGTAAAACCTTCACACAATTTTGAAGCTAAATGTTTGCTAACTGATTCGTTTTGCGATATGTTTAGGGATAAGCGTCTTGCTCTATGAGAACTTATCTACTTAGAACTTAGTTGTTTTTAAGCTTATCAACATGTTCAAATCAACAAACTAATTTTTAAGTCAGAGCGAGTCTTAGCTGTTAAGTCAAAGTGATTTAAAGTTTTCTCCCTGTATGATCTTAGCTAATGCCTCTGCTTTTCAGCAGATCTCCCACCTGCCTCCTCTCACTAACCCTTTTTAAGCATAGCCAACCTTTCATTTGGGTAGTTTCCCTGCCCTCTTCAGGTCAACTCCTCGTACCCAGCACTAATGCAGTTCACAACTTTCATTTTTGCACTTAAGTCTACTGAGCATAAACACAACTCTAGGGGCGTGTAGGGGGAAGGGGTGTTTGTTGCTAGACCCTCTCCCCTGCAACCCCTTTATATATATGGTATGTATATCATTGCTAGCAATCGGTCTAGACATTGGCGCTGGCACCAAAACTACTCAGGAATTTGCTATCAGCTGCAAGGCTGCTCGAACTATGGGCGGGATTAACGCTACCAGCTACCAGGAGGGGCATCTTGTTGTCACCTGATCCGGCATGGAATTGTTGTTGTTGCTGCTGCTGCTTGAAGTTCTGATACGCATCAGAGCTGACGGCGGACCAGGTGCCATCCTTGGCCTTAACATACAAATGCTGTTTGCTGGGCTGCTTGCTGCCAAAATGATAATCGCCCGCCGCAATCGAGGCACTGGAAGCCCAATCGTTTAGCAGCTGATTTGTCGAATTGCACAGCGCCTCGAAGTCCGCATCGTGGCTCTCGCCGCCAACCGCTGGCGGCCCGCCAGTTAGAAAGTCCAAATTGCCATTGGCCGACGAGCCATTGCTCTGGTGACGCGAGACGACGCCGCTGGATTTGCCCAATATGTTGGTCTCGCTCTTGAAGAGCGTCTTCGGCTGTCGCTGCCGGCGCAGGGTGCCAGCTCCGCCACCGCTGGCCATTTGGGCGGCCAGCGTGGTGTTCGCATAGGCGCCGAGGCCCTGCTTCAGCGCGTTGCTGGCGAGGAGCAGCTGCTGCTGTTGATTGAAGGGATTCGTGCGCTCCAGCTTTGTCTCGTTCTTGTTGCTGTTTAGATTCTGGATATGCTCCATTTTGTTCTCCGTTATGTTGATCTTTTTCAGCTTGGCCGGCGAGCCGCTCAGTATGGCCGTCGAGGCAGTCGATATGGTCATCGGATTTGGCTCCAGGCAGCCGTAATGGGCGCTCGCTGGCGCCGAGTACATCCCAGTCGATTGATAATCATTGTTGCAGCCATTGTTGTTGTTTCCAGCTGCTGTTGCAGCTGCTCCTGCTCCTCCGGCTGGCTTTGTGCCATATCGATTCTGATAGAGCTTCACATTGGCAACCACATTTGTTGTGGCATAGGCGCCGCAGCTATCATATAATGATGATGAGCCCGCCTGCACGCCGGAAGTTTGTGCAGCATTGTTGTGGGGGCTTTTGAATGTTGAACATGCAACTTCCGCATAGTCCGGCATATTCAGCGGCGAGAGTCTGCAAATAGACCAAGAGATTGGGTCTAGTTATAGGGGTGGGTTTTGTTTATTAACTCGTAGGTTAAAAAGCGTATGTCTGGACACAAATGCATTACTCATAAATCAATCGTAGGAAATTGCTTTTGTTACTCCCAAACACACACACTCGCACACGCACAGCCCACTAATGGTGCCGAGTTTGAACCTCGGCCGGAAATTTGTTTGCTGCAGCTCATTAAAAATTTGTGTATAGCATGATGTAGAACGTAGAGTTTTATCCGTGGCCGCAGCGGAATTGGGCATTGAAATTGCTGCGGATTGCCAATGAATTTGCACATTAGCTGGGCGTGTCATGCATTCAAACTTTCTAATTAGTGGGCGAACAACAGCCCCTAAAAAAAAAAAAAAAAAAAAAAAAAAAAATAAAAACACAAAAAAAAAGTACTCAAATCGCTGGCGAAACTTTTTGCTAAGTGCCCTCCGCTGCCCCCGCGCCTCATGCTGTTTGGTTGCAAAAATTTGTATGCAAAAACTTTTTTATTGCTGAAATTTTTCGTGCGCTAATTAGCTAATGAGATAATGCTTATCTATTGCACTTTGCCAATGAATTTTTACCCAATTTCTGACTGGCCAAAAAATTACTGAAACAGAAATTTTCCTTTGAAAAAGCGTGCGAGATAATTCGTATGTTCTCTGTATGCAGGCAGCTAACTGCATAAATGCATTTAGTAAAGTTAGGAGCTTCGTTAAGCATAAATTACAGTGCCAGATATTTTCACATGGGGCAAGGATAGTTGTGTTAAAAGTCGAACAGGTCTTAATGGAAGTGTGGCGAGCTGGGAATGAGTTTATTATGCATTGCTTTTGCACAGAGCTCCTACTTCTGCATGAGAATAAATAAATGATTTTGTGAGTTTATAAGTTCATATAATAGTTGCAATTTAATAGAAGAAAATAAAAATATCTGCACTGTAAGCTTAATATTGTTAACATTAAAATATGGCAACGCGCAGTCTCTTTAAGTCAACAGGTGGCAGGTCGGGCAGGTGATATGGTATGTGCTTTGTAAGTTTGGGCTAAAGTTCAGGTTAAAAATTAACATGAGCATAAACGAGATTAAAATTCGAGCTGCAAAATATGAACTGCTTTAACTTAAATTGTGTTTAAAATCAGCAAATTTCGCAAGTTAATTAGAAAAATAATGAACTAGCAATAAAAACTGCATGAAATTGTCAAGATCAACCCTTTCCCGGCCAATTTTAGGCACATGTAAATACCTAAGCCCTGACGAACATTAGCTTCAGCTCTGCCTAAAGACGCCTGAAATTATGCAACGGAATTTGAAATTTTCCAGCAATTAAACGTGCCTGCGACGGGGGACTGAAACTGCCTATAAGGACATGTCGTGCACACAGGAACAGAACCCAACGTCCACATCCAGCACCCCTCCCCCCTTCCCCTCCCACTGTACTACATTCGCAGCAAAGGCATTTGCATACGCTTAGGGCTTAAAGCTTCGACTGGGATCTAAGCGGAGGCGCGGGGCAGCTGCTCCCTCGGGGCTATCAATTTTTAATTGTTAATTTAGCGGTGAATATTACGTTCGCAAACTAATAAACCAAATACGTGAGGGGGTTGGTGGATGGGGGGAGGGCTTGGTGATGCAGGGGCATTTTCGATATCCAGTGCAAGATGTTAGAGCTGACGCCATAATGTTGAAAATCAGACAACCCGAAAAGAAATTAAATATTTTAATTGGAAATTCAAATGACGGCGTCGCACGCGTGCCAAGTGCCGGGGCAGGGGCTGTGGGGGTGGAAAAATGACATAAGGTGTGTGCTTGTGTGTGTGTGTGTGCGTATTATTTTTTTTTACGAGTTTACAACGTTGTTAAAATGCACAACAACAACAAAAAGTACAACGCAGAAAGTTGCCAAAAAGTACACAACGGAAAAATTGAAACGGAAATAATGAAAATCGCGTAACGGAAGTGGCAACAGCATTAGAAGAATGTGGCAGAGGCAGCCAGCAATAGGAAGTGCTCAAATTGCGCTAGTGTGAGGGCGTGACAGCGACAGTCAAGGGGGACAGGAGTGGGGCAAGGTGGGGGCATGATATCTGCTGGGATATTGTAAAAAAGTCAAAACAAATAAATGCGTAAAATGCCGCAAATAAATACGCACAAGTTGAGGCGGGGCGGAACGGGCAGTGGGGTTACATGGCTAGCTACGGGGCGTGGCGGTGGTAGTAAAAGAAAAAGAGAAGGAAAAACAATAACAACACAACAAAAAAAACAACAGAGCAGCTCGGCAATATGTCGCCGGCAGTTGCGTCTTTTTATTGCGCCTTGTTTGCTTTTCAGTTATTGTTGCCACAACGGTACATTAAGCTTTAAAGAAAACTTTTGGAAAGCGCAAAAAAAAAGAAAAGAATTACGAAACAAAATTACAGAAGTAAAACAGAAAAAAAAAACATGGAAAACGAAAACACGGCGCAAAATTGTTTAAGTAAGAAGTAAAAACAAAGCAACACGCAAAGGGCGATAGGTAGTTGTTAAAAAAGAACTTGGATAACGTCGGCTTAAAGATATGGACTTAAGAAATGTAGAATGAGAGGTAGAAGAGATACAATTGTTGAAGAGCAAACGAAAGGAACGTAAATTTCTTCAAACGGGCACATCCCGTCTCATAGACGCATTGAGCTAGTGAAAGAAAATCTCTTGCGGCAAAAAAAAGTTGTGCCTTAACTATGTGAGAATTATAAACGAAATTTAGAATTTGTTGTTTAAGTTAAAGGAACTATCCAAAAGAATGGAAATAAAGACAGGCCTGGTACGGTAGTTAGTAATAGATGAAATTCATCATAAATTGTGGTTAATTAAATTAACTTAAAAATAATTAAAAAATGAATATACAATGCTTGTTGAGATTTAAACCTTTTTTCTGCTTTAAAATGCTTTGGGATAATGAAAAAAATGCTTTAAAAAAAAATATTGATAAATAAAATTATAATTAAAAATAAAAATTTGGAAAACATAGTTCGAATAACAACAACTCCTGCTCTCTCCCCCAAATACAAATAAAAAACCTGGACCAAACATTTTTTTTTACATTTAAATTTATATTTGCCATGCATCCTTAAAATTTCATAGCTCTGGATTGTAAATACAAAGGTTTTTTAAGAGCCGTATTATATCGTTTTAAAGGAATTTCTTGGAATTTATAGATTGCAAAAATATTTTAATATCTGATTTCTGTGCATGTAATATATTCCCTTTCATATGGGTAAATCGGAATAAAAATTTGCTTTTTGGCATGCTGGAAAAAAAAAAACAGAAGGCCGAGCACCACAAACCGAAAGCAATGCAAACAGACAAATATTTAAAAATACGCAACGAGAAATATGGAATTCATGTGCGTATATGGAAATGAATTAAGGGGCCAACGTAAATGGCCGCACTTTGGCTGGCAAGGGATCAGGATCAGGGGCGGGGGTGCAGCAGTAAGGCCACGGTAGAGCCCAAAAGCCCCACTCCGAAATAAACAGAGGGCAGAGGCTGCTGGCGGTACCAGGCACTGCAATCGCCATGGCCCAAAGTAAAACCCGTTCAAGTGTAACAATTTAATGGCGCTTGTTGTTGTTGTTTTTGTTTCTGGGCTTTATTGGGGTGGGATGGGGAATGCGTGGGTTGGTGGTGTGTATGTGTTGGTGGGTGGTTTTGGTAGCTTATTGAAGTGGATGCGGTTGCAGCTCCGCAATTTTTATGAGCGAATCGTAAATAGTGCGGCCTGGCACTGGATGTTTTCTTTGGTAACAAACACTGAACCCCAATGCCCAAAGTCCCCCACCCCCTGCCACCCATCTCTCCGCCTCCTTAGTAGTAAAACATTTAAGCATTTGGCGTGGTTTTTCGGCTGCTCTCGCAATTTTTCGTAATTAAACAGGCAACGAAGCGTAGACAGGATATTAAGGCAACTTCCTGTGCGCCCGACTGATAAACCAGACCCCCACACCATCGACCACCCACCCGCCACGTTTGAGCAACCCTTTTGGGCCAGCTTCAAATCATGCTCACCTCTCATAATCAGGCAGCGGCTGTTGTGTGTTTGATTGTCCTTGTTGTTGCCTCTGTCCATGTTGTCCTTGTTGTTGCTGTTGTGTGCCTCGCTGCTGAGCTGTGGCCTGTGCATAGCCCGGAAGTTGTTCCTTTGTCGTACAGGAGCCAGCGGCCTGTCGCCAAACACCGCCACTTGGATCGATCCAGAGGCCATTGGAGCCACCAATGCCAGAGTTGCCACCATTGTTGCCGCTGCCGCCGCCGCCGACCCCGATGCCACCATTCATCGGCAACGTTGGAAACTTTCGCACGGTGCCGATTGCGTGATTGCCTGAAATAAAGCACGGATATCGAGTAAGTACACACGTAGTCTATATATGTATGTGTATTTAGCCAGATAGTAGATCTAGTTAATGCCGTTGGTAAGAAGCGAGTCGTAAGCCTCGTTAGTGGCGCCCAATTACAAACGCAGCTCCTTTTGGCCGTTAACAGAAATAAAAAAGGGCAACGTGCAAATAATAAAAGACGGAAATAACATTTTATATTCAATTGGCAAGCAGCTACCTTGCCCCTCAGTCTCATGTTATTTTATTTTTAGAGTTTTACTAGACAATTGATGTGATTTTCACGTGCCCATTTGTCGTTTCACCCCACAAGCCCTCCCCGCACGCCATGATTGTGTCTCCTTTTATCGCTGCTTTAACCTTAGAGCTTTGCTTTTGCCCTCACAGGATTATTAGCCTAGGTACTGCGACTAGGTTCACATTCGCTCGCTAATGTTATGAGTGCGTGTTGCTTAGTTTTTGTGGCTTACAAAGCGGCAGCCTAATTGAGACCAGGCATAAACGAGCGCTCATATATCATAGATTATATGAGCTCTATTTGGCCCTGCTTTAATACATTTTGCATTTTTTTTTTCTTTGCGAAGAGCAAAAGGGCAAATCAGGTTGTTTGTGCTGAGATTTGGATTAAGGAGCAAATTCCACAAATGCATTTTTAAAAACAGAAGCTCTTGGAGCCTTTCATACACATTAAAATGTATATGTAAGAAAGGTTCCTAAGACTTTTGATTAAAGCCAGATAATTGTATATAATGTAAACATATAAACTTGTACACGTTTGTTTAGATTTAACTAAAATCGAATAAATGAGCAAACTAATTTTATCAAGAGTTATCGCCTAAAACCTTGAATTTGCCGAGTTTTATGATTCGTTTACTTTTTTTAGTGAATGAGTTAAGTACTTATCAAATTTCTTGCTCTACAAATTATATAAAATATCAAAAAAGTTCTCTGGTAAATATAATTTATATTCATGTTCTATGTTCTATTCATGATGTCAGTCACTTTAAGGCTTAACAAGTGCCAATGAGCAAAAGATTTAAATGGCTCAAGTTCTAATCGCTCTATAAAATCTAGTTGTAGCTAAGCTGTGACATTTGCAATGCTCAATAGAGCATACAGCTCATAAATTGCAAATGCCAAGCAATTACCGGCCAGGCAGAGAGAACTTAGAGCCACCCCCTGCAAAGCTGCTGTCGCCAAAACTTAATCCAGGCAAAGAAAAAAGAAAGTAAAATAAATAGCAAAAAATACATTTAAATTGCCGACCCGTCGGGCGTCGGATAACTCACCATGTAAACTGCCCAGCGAGGTCTGCTTGATAAATTGATAGCGCTTGAATAGAACCAATGCGCCCAATAGAAACACAATTATGGCGATGATGGAGCCCAGCAGGACGATAAACCAGGTCTGCGTTAAAAAGTCATCGGCAATATCACGACTGATGGGATAGCTGCGCACAATAGGAATAGAAAGCAGAGAAATGGACAAAAAGAAAGCGGAATGAGCATCGGTTGACTACTGGAGCAGGAAGTACGTGCCCTGGCTAGGCTTAGTTTAATGGTCACATAGTCCGTCTGCCTGTCTCAATTCTCAGCCGCCCATTGTCGTTTGCTGTTAATGGATTGATGTGAATGTGGCCGCGCCAGCTTTTGTCCCAAATGGCAGCAGTCAAATGAGCTCCCGCACAATATACCGTCCAGGCAATACCCCAGACTATGCCCGTGCCTCTGTCCGGTCCGTCAACTCACCGCGTGTAGCCCGTGTCCAGTGATTGGGTCCGCGCATCGATGCGCAGCACGGCCGGTTTGCTATAGGGACCGACGCCCACCCGGGTGGCCGCAGCCACGGCAATGTAGTAGGTGACGCCCGTTGTGAGGTTGGCCAGCAGCAGTGTCGGTGTCGCCGCATCAATGGTCATATTTTTGAATATACGCGTCGTATTGTGCACATCCAGACCCTTGACGAGCACATTGTAGCTGGTGAGGATGCCTGCCGTGCGGACGCAGAGACAGTGTGTGGGCGAAAAAGAGGGAAAAGAACAAATGAAATTAAATGTTAGCAAGAGCACAAAGAAAATAGTTACTTATTCGGTCAACCGAATAATTGAATGACCTTTCGAAACAGCTGCAAAGTTAATGGTTAAGGAATTTTAATGGAAGGCGCCTTAAATATAGTCCGATATATATTTATTTTTTATTTATTTACTATCTATCTGATCACTAAATTTTTGATCCTATCTACACCTATGCATTTGATTCTGTTTGGAATTATTCTACTAAAAGGTTTATTTTTGATTACATAACAAACTATGCAAATAGTTTTCAGAGACTTTTCCCACATATTTTATCTGGCCTCTAGTTTTACAGAAATAATATATATGATTTAAGGACTAACAAAAAAAAGTTGATATATGTACATAAATCGGACTTAAGATCATATACATATATATGATACAATAAAATACAATTATCTCATAAAATATTTCCAGCTAATAAAAAATAAGGAGCAACACCCCACACTTGGTCATAGTTACAAGTCCGACCTGTTACAAACTCAATTTGTAAGCTAATATACCTATCGTAGGGTGTCTATAATAGGCGCATTTTGGGGATTTGTTTACAGTACATACCATTGCGTGTGCGATTCGGCTGTGGGGCAAGCCATTTGAGAAAGACGGAGGTGCGATTGAATTGGATGGCCTCCATGCCAAATGGCGGTGCCTCGGGTACTGTTAACAAAAAAAAAGAGGGAAACAAATGAAGTTGGATTAGTGGCAGCAGATGGGACTTTGAAAGCCGGGGCTCAGCTGATTAGCAGGTAGATGGAAAAAAGCTATCTTGGGCATTCTTACCATCTTCCAGGGTGCGCGCATGTCGGGAATTGGAGGGTTTGCCTACGATGCTCTTGTAAAATGGCACAAGAAAAAACTCATACGTAGACGCCTTGGCCAGATTGGGCACCGTGCAGGAGCTCAGGCCCTGACCCTTGTTAAGCAGTGTGAGCATCTTGTATTCCGCCGAGCGCAGCTCACGTGCATACAAATAGTATCCCTCGATGTACTGGCCGCTGTCTATGTCCCAAGCGAGGCGCACCGAAGTCGAGTCGCTGGCATTCGCCTCCAGCAGCTCGACAATGTCATTCGATTGCAGCAGCTGCTCCACATCGCTGAGCAGCAGCTGCGAGCTGGCCGAGCCGGCGGAGGCGTCGCTGCCATCGCGCACGCCCACCAGCTTGCCGGCCGTAATGGGCTCCGAGATGGGCGAGGGCGGCGAAAAGCCCAAGGCGTTCTCGGCGCGCACAATGAACATATAAGCGGCGCCCTGCTCCAAGCTGTCCACCGTGACAATTGGCTCGCTGAGCCTGCTGGCAATGGGTATCCAGGTCTTGCTCTTGTTTGTGCAGTACATTTCCACGCTGTAGCCGAGGAACGGGGAGGCGCCCAGCTTGTCGCTGGTGGGCCATACAATTGTCATGGCCGAGGCGGTGGCATTCAGCACTGTCGGTTGCCCCGGTGCCGTGGGGCATTTGCTTTGCTCGGGCGCACGATAGAACTTAATGTTCGGATTGGTGGGCAGCTCTATGCGCAGGAAACCGCTCCACGTGGACTTGCCAGCCCGAGAGCTGGCCACACACGTATAGAGACCTTGATCCTGCTGTCGATCCAAATCGGATATAATCAAATCCCCGGCGGCGGTTATGTTCAACTTGGCGCTGGGATGCACGGGTATGCCGTCGCGATACCAGGATATGGTCGGATTGGGCAGTCCAATGGCCTTGCATTGCAGCGTGGCCAGCGATTTGATGGGCAGCGTTTGGTTCACCGGGCCCGCAATGATTATCGGCGGCGGTCGATCCTCCTGCGAGTCCAGCGTCAGCTGTACCCTGGACGTTATGCTGGCCACCTCGTTCATTGCATTGCACACAATAACCAGATCCTTGTCCGTGCGCTGAAAGCGCGTCAACGTCAAGATGGAATGGCCCTCCTCCGTGTTCAGGCTGTGAAAGCGATCCAGGGGAGGTGCACCCGGAAAGATCAACGTGCTATTGTTCTTGATCGTCCAGAATATGGTCGGCTTCGGATTGCCTGAGGCGCGGCACTCAAACGAGGTGTCCGCGCCCAGCTCTACGGATTTGCTGGCGGGACGTTGTATGAATTTCGGGGGCGCTACAGTGTGCGTATATGTGGGATTCATATAGGGTTTTAACTAATTAGCTAAGTGTGCTTGACTAGCGCTAAAAATAGGGCTCAATGACACGAGCTTCAAATTAGACTAACATTTCTTTAACACTTATATAGAAAATAAGTAAAAATGTTTTTTTAGTAAAGCACAAAAATAAAATCCAAACAGCTTATACAAATAATTAATGGGTCAGTAAATTCCAACAACTATTATTAGTCTTAACATTTTTATTTACGCAAAGCTTTTGATTAAAGCTCTTACTTGCAGAGAGCTGTGATATTAAAGCTTCCAGTTTGATTATGTTTTGTACTGTAGTTTTGCAATCTATCTTCGCATTAACTAATTTATGCTTTTAAGCTTTCAATTCTTTCCTTTCAGAAAACTCTTTTCACTTTAAGCTAGTGTCATTGAGCCGCAATTAAAAATGACTGAAGCAGTGACTTACCAAAGACCGTCAATGTGCCCATCGCCGTGATGGCCCCCACCACATTGTCCGCCTCGCAGCTGTACTCGCCCTCATCGGCTATGGTGACGCGCTCCAGGCGCAGGCTGCGATCCTCCAGCACGCTGACACGGTCTGCAATAAGTATGCATACACGCGGGGAAATAATAATAACTGATGAATCGCCAGGTGTTGTCTGTGGGCTTACCTAGCGGCATATTGCCCCCGGAGGCGGTGCGCAGCCAGAGCACATCCGGCATGGGATCCCCGCCGACACGGCAGGGAAATGTGACGGAGGCGCCTTCGAGCACCGTTTGATCATGTGGTCCACGTATGATGTAGGGCTTAACTGCAATAAACATAATGAAACGCTTAGCGGCATTTAGGTGCAATCGTGGTGCTACGCAGGCACCCAAGTCACATGCCAGCAAATTGAACATGACACAATGATTTGAGGTGCAGCATGATGTGGGATTTGGCATGGATTGAGGTATGGGTGGAGGGGTGTGGGTTGGCTGGGGGTTTACGTACCATGTACTTTGAGCGTGGCTAGGGATGATTCGCGCACACCGACAGGATTCTTGGCAATGCACTGGTATTGACCCTCGTCACTTTGACGTGCATCCTGTATGGCCAAATTGCCGCCATCAACGATGCGTATACGCTTCGTGCCCTCCAAATCCAATTTCTGGCCGCCCTTCTTCCATGTGACCGTCGGTTCCGGTATGCCGCGCGGCGGTGCACACTCCAGTAGCGCGGTGTCACCCTGGGCGATGCGTGTGTTTTGCGGCTCCAGGCGAAACTCATCGCGCAGCACTGTAAATGGAGCAGGCAGAGATGAAGAAGAAGCGATGAGGCTTGGACAACAGCTTTAGTGTGCGGGTGCGTGTGTGTGTGTGATGGTCTCTGTCCATTTGATTCCTCCTGTTGTTGGTGGTGGTTATAAATTATCTTGGTTTTGCATGATAAATGCCTGTCCCTGTCCTGCCTTAACCTGGGGCCGTGTGCGGCTCTTTGTGTGTGTGTGCGTGTATGTGTGTGCGGGTGTTTGTGGTCTGACAGCAAAGATAAATTGTTGGTAAATGGCATAAATGTGATTTTTATACGGCATGCCCACGAACACACCCACACACACGCGCTCGGGCAGCTTTTTACCCAACTACAGCAGCTCATTTGTAAAAAAGTCTGGCAACGCCAAGGGCACACAGCTTTCTGGCTAATTTAATTCTGTATGATATACTCCATTTATTGGTTCTTATGGCACTTAGCTAAATCACGATTTAGTTAAATCGATAGTAAATTCCGATTACGCTTCATACTAATTTAAGCAAGTTGAATCATTTAATTTCAAATATTATCAATATTTTAATAGATTCTGGCAACGCCAGGGACATGTAAGTTTTGTTTGACTTCGATTATTTTTCACAATTCCTAACTGATTTAACGAGTGATTTTAACACGATCTGGTTAGAATTGTAAAGTTATTTAGTTTAGAAAATTGTATAAATTGCAAATGAAACAAGTATTCGATGTATTTAGTGTGGATATTTTAGAGTTTTTTTTTATATTACAATTTGTTACATTTTATAAAAGTACTTGCAAAAAGCGTTTCGCCCAACAACTTAATGCACAATACGATTCATTATTATAAATTGAAATTAAATCATGTTTAAAGATGGTTTACAAGTATTCGCTTAGTTGATTAATTTCAAGACAGTCTGATTATATAATTATTTTGTAAATATTATATATGTAAGTATTTGCAAAGGGAGTTTCGCCCAAAGCCCCTTTCGCAAAATAACCTACATACATACTTAAGAGATTGTTATGTGTTGTATTTATATATCCATCAGTATATGCAACAAATCCTCAAAGTTCCCCCGATTAGCACAATGATTATTCTACCTAGTCCTATAGATCCAAAACTCCCATCCTAGCGCAGACGTCTGGCTTCACGTTCCGATTCCAATAGCGTCAAAATGTCGCCCTCTCGCACTGGGCCCTTCACGTTGCGTATGATTTGGCGATTCTGTTCGCCAAGAAATTCCACCTTCACCTGGGTGCACTGACCCTGGGAGCCTGTGCGACCGAGCACCTTCACAACGCGAGCCCATACAATTGGCTTATCCATAATATCAGGCCGTTTTCCTTTACTTCGAGGACAGTACGATTTGCTTCAGTCGGCAGTCGCCAGAAAAAGAAAGTGGAAAGCTGCAGGCTGATGTGGAATCGATTACAGTAGCTTATTTTTATCGACCATTGTGAATGGTCAATCGGCAGTGTTGAAAGTGAAAATATCGATAGTTCCACTCAATTACTCAATTCAATTCATTCTGACACTATGAAAGTTTGCACCAAACGCTGATATATTTCATGAGATATATTTAATAATTTAAAACATTTTCACAAACTGAGCAGAGGATTTACTGACGCATTTATTTTTATTTTTTAATACTTAAGCTCTTGCATTAAATAATATTTTCAGTTAATTGAAATGGAATAATGCTTGTATTGCGAGTTATTCATGCGCCACTTTTGCTAACCAAGAAGCTTGCATTCAGAACTGAAAAATTTTTTAAGCGAAACGCATTTCTAAAGCTTTTCTTAACCCTGGCGCATAGTAAATCACGCTATTATCAACATTTTGCTTTTGCCAACCGCAGATTTAAGGCACTAACTCAGCTGTCTGCATTTATTTTGCATGGCATTCGCTCGGTTCTGCTTCTTTCTGCATTTTCCATTTCAGATTTTCCATCTTTTTTATACGCTATCCTTCGCCATCTTGCCAGCTCCATTTTGTGGTCAAATTGCAAACCTGTAATTTGCACACCTTTCCCCCTAGGATGTCTGGCAACTCTGGTTGCAGCTAGACCGATTTGCTCAGTTATAAATTTGCTTGGCGAATATTTGTCCCCCCTCCACACGCACACACACACACATATATATATATATATATAGAAGCGGGGGAGTAGCATAATAAATCAAGTAACTTTCAAGCACTTGGAAAGCAGCTGAAAGTACATTTTCTTTTTCTCTTATTTTTTTTTTGCCTGCTGCCCTGAAAAGCGAGCTTTGTGCATTCAACTTGGTCGCATTCAGCGTACACAAAATATATAACGAATAAATCCAAAAAACGGCAGCTGCTTTTACGTAAATTACATTTTACATTTTATTTTATTTTTGTTTGTGTAATTTTTATATATATTTTTATTTTAATCTGCAAAGTGAATAAGCGCATTTACTTATGGCCTTAGTTTAAAATATTTGTTGAAAAAAACTGCTCAAGCATGACTTTTATTAAATTTAAAGTGATGTCTATAAATCAACATAAATCAAAATATTTCAACGCATGGCGAAAGTGAACACGAAAGCGAATTTCGCTTCAACTTTCCCGCACACACACACACAGACAAAAACTTTTAATGCGCTCAAAATATAGCAACAAATGTGGAGCTGGTTGCCGAAACTCACAGCCAAGCCCGAGAGCCCGGGACACAGAAAGAGGCCAGCAGCGAGTGAGACAGCGCCCAGGACTGGGGTCGTTCCATGGCTGAGCGGCTGAACGGCTGAAAGGCTGAGCACAGCAGGAAACACGCCAACCATCAATAAATTAATCAAAGTCATAATCAGTGTCAGGTTCAGTGGCACTGGCGAAAGTTGTAGGCCATTCAGTTCAGGTCCAATTCGGTTCGGTTTGAGGTCGTGACTCAGTCAAGCGGAAAACTCGCGCTGAAAAGGTGCAAAATGCCAGCTGCTGATAATGAGTTAATAAATGACCGTTACGGCAATATTTATAAAGCATGTCCCTACCATAAATATGAGTGTGTGGGAGATTTGCGATAAGGCAGAGCTATTTGTGGGCTTAGTCTAGTATAAAGGGCATAGAAAGAGAACTATTTATAGAAGATATGAGCAAGATCGATAAAAGCACTTTTTGCAGATTGTTAGAAAATTATTTAAATACAGGATTCTTGTTGAGTTTGGATGGGATACTCTAAATTATGTAATTGGATTATACACTAAAAAAATATTAAAGTTAGTTTGAAAATTACAAGAGAACAATTTTATTTTATTTATAACAAGTATGGATTATTATATATTCGATTTAAATATAAATATTGAACATTGAATTTGATAAAACCGTTTTATTTATGCGAAAGACATAAATACAGCACAATCAAAAATACATTTGGAAGTAAGAAAGAGGTTTTGATAAAAATTAAATAAAGTCAAGTTTTGCTTGGATAACCCTACCAATTCTATAAAAATCATTTTAATATTTAATACAGCTTTCTAGTACTTTTGAAAGCGATCAGCAAGCCCTTAAAGCCATTCGTAAACAATATATAAAAATATTTGAATGTTCCGCATAGTGCATAGAAAATTTTATTTTGAATTCTGGGGGAAACAAATGGAACATTTGGTAGTAGGCTTATGTATTTAAGCCTGAATGAGTTCCATATTTGAGTTTGTTTTGAAAAGTTCATGCCCTCTTTTTCAGTTTACACACATTGCGTATGCGTAATATGCGCTTGACAGAAATTACGCTGACAACATCAGAAATAGGCAACTTATGTTTATTATTGACAGAGCATCCGACAAGTGAGCAAGTGAAATGCCGTTTTTTGCTGCTTCCTCTTACATGCTTTTATTACCTAACCCAATCAAAGTGAACGCCTTTTGCCATTGCTACCGCTCCCCCGCTAACTCTTCGTCCGCTCTGACTGCAGCTCTCCGGGAAGTTGCCAGCTCAAGAGTCGCAATAACGACGTTTTAACCAAGCAAACAAATTTGACGTGCTTTTCGTGATTTACATGCAAATATTGAAAAATATTCCCCAAGGATACCGCAAAAAGCAAACCAAACTGGCTAAAGCTAAACACGAGCGGTACCAGGAAAAATAAAATAAAAAGAAAAAACGCCGCATTGAAGGGAGAACAACAAAAATGAACTCCCAACGTCAGGAAGCAATATCGATTTTCATGTGGGCGGCGGTTAGGAATAAAAGAGCATGGCAAATAAAAGAAATATTGGCCAACAAAAGACAAAGTGGAGGTCTGCGGTGGCAATAGGGCAATTGGGAGCTCAAATGGGGCCACAAATGCCTCGTTTTTGGCCTAAAAATACGCTACAACCGAAAGATATGGCGAAAAGCAGAGCTTGAAAAATGTTCCCGAAATAGCTTTTCAATATAAATAATGGAAATTTCGCATTGCTACGGAGTAACCATTTGATAAATGACATTCAAAACCTTTGAAACTATTAAATCGAATTAAAATTTAAAAGAAAACAGATCACATAACTTATATAATTTATACTTTTCTATTAAGTTTAATATATGCAAATAAAAACATAATTTTCTGGTATCAAATGTGAGCTCATATATTTAGTTTTTAAATATTGCTTTTATATTTGATTTTTTTTTTATCAAATCAATCAAACCGAATACCCAACCTAACATAAGCTTCAGAGTTCTGTATGCTGGCATTAAGCATTTAAATATGCCTCTCATTTGATGTATTTTGATTACATCATAATTTGATGTGAGTTTAGGTGCCTGAAATGAGATTTGATTAAGTTTTCCGCACGAGTTAAGTGGTTCATTTTGAAGTTTATTGTGCCAACTCAAGTTGTTGTCAAACAGACCTTGCCCAATCTAAATATGGCTACACCCTCTTCATATGTAGCCATAAATCATACACACTCATACACACACACAGACTGATAAAAAGAAAATGCTGGAAAAACTGAAATTCAGCTCGGTTCAGTCAACCAAGCACCCAACTAACCAGCTGAAAAGGCTTTAAAAGTCAAAATCTAGCAAAAAGAGCAAAAATAGTTAATAGAGAGAGAGATAGACAGATGGAGAAGGAAAGCAAGAGAGAGAGAGAGAGAGAGAGAGAGCGCGCGGAAAAAAAACTGAAACGGGTTAATAGAGGCAGGAGCAGAGACCTCTGACAAGACAAGTGGGTGCGTTCATGCGGAAAACTTGTAAACGCAGCTCAGCTAGTTAGTTAAGTGGGCGGTGCCACAAAAAACCCCCCCTAACAAGCCACCAACTCTCAGCCAAACAAAAAAAAAAAAGAGCTGCCCTGAGCATATCGAAACCCAACAACAACAAAAACAACAACTGCGGCGAAAAATCAACATCAATTTAGAATATTAAAAAAACGCAAAGTCGTGCGTGGCCAGACGCCGTCGCCCGCAGCAGCATGTGGTGTGTGGCTATAAGAAGAAGACCTTGTGTAGGATATACGACTTACCCGCCACTTGCAGCGTGGCATTGCGACTCCGTGCCACGCCCAGTTCGTTCTTGGCCTCGCACCAGTAGATGCCAGCATCTGTTTCGCGACGTGAATTGACAACCTGCAAAAATAAAAACAGAGAAGTTGGAGTTGAAAAGTTGTCAGTAAGTGCACAAACTGAGGGCCAAATGTGAGCAAATTTTAATTGAAATGAGTAAAAGATTGTTTTTTCATACCATATACCCTTTAAGGGCGGCAGTTTTAGTCTGTAGCTACAGTTTGACTGATGTAATATTCCATGATAATGTAATCTTTATCTTAGAGTTGCTTTAGACTTGATAAACTGCTTTGAGATGTGATTCCTAAACTGGTAATTTGAGAACTTGACAGTAAACTTCCTTAGAAAAATACGATTCTACTTCTTAAGCCGGTTTAAAAGTGGTTCGGAGTCGTATTTCGGCAAATACTTAAGCTATCATGCGATAAATGCCAAATTAAATATATTTTTAATTTTAAATTTTAAAAATCAAAAAACAATTAAATCAGTAAATTCTTACTAAGAAAAATTCATGAGCTTTCTTTTAAATGTATCGTAACAAATTCTAAAAAATGTCAAATAAATAACAATAAAGAATTTGAATAATAAACTGGATAATCCTATGGAAATACATATATAAACAAACTTGTTTAAAATAATATCTTAACTTATTATACATTCATTATAAATTCATGCTTAACCTATACGCACATCAGCTAAGCCTGCCTTTTTGCTGCCACACTTACAGGGTATATTGGAATTATGTCATCTTTTAGATTGCTTTGCTTACTTTCTTATTGTCATTTTACAAATGGGCTGCAAAAAGTGCTTTCGCAACTTCAAGACGTTGATTTGCAGTCTCTATCTCATGAGCTGCTCACTCTCTTTCTCTCTCTATCTCTCTCCTTTTCTCTCTTACTTTGCGATGTTGGCCTGTCTTTTTGGCCATAATAAACAGTCAGCAATCTGTTGTCTGTTGCGCGTCTGCTGCCTTCAAGTGCTCAAATCATAAAATGTCTCTCGAGCAACTTTATAGTTACTTCATATCCCCTCACCCCAGGCACTTTTCACACAGACCCGCCCCCATTTTCTTGCCGCCCTTCATTTTGTGTTGTTTCACTGACTGTTTTTGTCTTTTCAGTTTGTTTATTTGTTTTTGGCGCACAAAAGAAATTCCCCAACATGCGCTTAAAATTAAATGTCAAAATGTGTGTTGAATGTTAGTGTGTGTGTGTGTGTGCATGAGTGTGTAGGTGTGTGTGTTTTAAGCGTGTGTGTTTGTCATATTTATCTCAGCAACGGCAGCTACAAAGTTCGCACAATTTACACAACTTCTGCGCCTCATCCAAGTGAAATTAAGTGTTGCGCTAAGTGAAGATGACAAAAGGGTTCTTCAGCTCTATTATTCTTTCATTTAATCTTGCTCATGTGTGTCTGCCTGCGTGTGTGTATGTATATGTGTGTGTGGAGTGTGCGTTGTGCCGCGGGTGTGCTTTATAAAACAAATAAGCGAATGCGCTTCAGGCGTCTCAATTGTCATGCTGGCAACTCAAAGGCAAAGCGCTTACTTCAGGCTAAACTTCTGGCAATCTGTTCTTAAATATAACTCTATATATACGTATGTGTATATATGTTTTAATAGTGCTTTGTACTTTGGCTTTTCCCATACCATCTTATTATGCCCATCAAAAGTTTGCTTTACCACAAGAACACATATGTACATAGTATATGCTTGTTGTCTATTCAGGCAAAAGGATTAGGGACTTAAGTTGTATGTGATATAAATTTCTCTTCAGAAATTTTATGTAATATTCTTAAAGGTATGTATGACAATTTATTTTGTATTATCGGATGAGCGTATTATAAACATATTTTCTTGATATATGCTTTCTTATATATGCTTTATCATAATTATTAAAATACCTATTTTTAATGAAGAGTTTAGTTTTTATCATAACCTTAACATTTGCTTTCCCCTTTATACATCATTCTCATAATATTAATTTCTGTACAAATCTCAAGACCCCTTTGGAAAATAATTGATTTTTCTGCTTAAGAACATGATGTATTATATATTTTATTTACATATATGACATTTGTATATGACATATAAATTTATTTGGAGTATAAGCAGCTTTAATATAAATAATACGCATACGCACCGTGGGCCGGCGCTCAGTCAATTGTGCAACAGCCGACTGCAAAGAGCAAAAAGCAAAAAGCTAAGCTCATTAGCTGCATGCGCAGCATTTGCTATTAAAATTTCATACAAATAACATAGAAAAGAAGCAGTCCCAGGCAACGTTATCCTTTCTAATAAAAAGGAAGAAAATAAAGGAATCCAAATCCGTAGCAATGGCAACGCGGACAAATAAAAATGTAAGCAAATAAAAATATAATACGCGCAGACAATGTAATCTATATGTTGCTGACTCTTTTTATTTTTGCTCTTTTTTATTTTCCAGTGTGTTTTCTGGCTGAAATTAAATTTTTGGCCCGGACAGGCACAGTGAACAGGAACAGGATGGGGAAAAGAAACTGCGCCGAAAGTCACATAAATTTATTTATGTCTTTAATGACTTGAGCCACGCGAATTGCTGCGAATTGGCTGCGCTTTGTTGTTGTTGATATGGTCCTTGTTGTTGTCCTTGTTGTTGTTGCTGCTGTTTTTTCGGTATTTTGGTGCGTGCTGCCAGCAAACATTGAAACTGATTTGACAACAACAACAACGACAACAACAACAGCAGCAGCAGCTCTGCCGTGTGCTACGTGCGTCTTTAGCTGAGGGGCAGGGAGAGCACGAGTCAAGGGGCTGAGTCGCAGCACTGCGGCTATAAAATATATTGACTGTGTGTGTGTATTAGTGTGTATGTCTGTGTGTGTGTGTAGCTGTGTGTAGTCGCGCGTTGAAAACACGCTTCCGTTTTAATTTAAAATACCCATAAATTTACAACATTTCATTTGGGAGCCATTTCGTTTTCATGTTGTAACATTTTGTAATTGTGTAAAATAGAGAGGAAGAGATAGAGACAGACCCAAACAGAGAGCGAGTGCGAGTGGGAGATAAATAAAGAGTAAGTGCCTGTGTGAGGACGAGTGTTTTATAATATTGTTTAAATTTAAAGTCGGTAAAATGTGGCGTGTAAATGCTTTTAATTGAAAAAATTGGTTAAATGTCAGCTAACAACTGCTCTACGGAGGGGTTGGGGCAGGGCAAGTGTCGCAGTTAAAATCAACAGGTAAATTGAAATGGATGCGATATTGTGCAGAAATTGAAAATACACAGTCGTGTTATCCACTTAAAACTTAATTATTTGGCTAAATTATTCAAAAGACAACAAGCAAAGCTCTAAAAAGTTGTTATAAATGTTGCAGGTTCTATTGACAGTGTAAAACTCTGATTAAATAATTTGAAAGAAGTCTTCATAACTGCATATAATTAAAACTCTAAAACTATTTTTAGAAAATAACAATCTTTGCAATTTAAGCAAGGCAGGCTTTGGGCTGGTAGACATATATATTTGAAACATCTACATACATCAAATAATAAATTACACACATTTTTTTAATACAAAAATGTGAATCTGAAATCCACATTTCAGTTTGTAACTCGAGTTCTGGCAAAACTCTTATTTTTTCCTATTTTATTTTTATTTATAAGATAAGTAAACTTATTGTGCCCTAAACATGATATAGAACTTTAATATAATTACACAAGCATGTCGATACCGAACGTCTCCCGTGGTCAAGTTGTTTAAGAGACGTCGACAACTTGGGTATACAAGTTCGAGTCCGCAGAGAATAGTATGGAATTGATAATTAATCGAAAAATACGGGATAAACTTATTAGATGGTAAACCTATTTATTTAATTTAAAATATGGACAGTGTCAGCTTATAATTCTAAAGTGGCTTAAGCGCGTTGATTGAAAACGCCTAATCCATTTGGGAACTATAAGCTGATATTGTTCATGCTACATGCTTACATTTTGACAGTTGTGTCAAGGCAACCTATTTTGATACAGCTGCAACTTATTCGCTTTTTAAACTCGTTTACAAAATAAAAGGAGCAGAAAAGATATGCATACATATACTCACGCTCCTCTGAAGATGCGTAAAATATATACCGTGAACATTTCGAGGCGAATTAAAAACTGTTAAAAACTCTGCGGACGACCTGTTTTAGCTGTTATTGAACTGCGAACGCGAATCACGCAGTCGATTGCCGCCCACTGAAACTTGTTTCTTTTGAAACGCGATGCATCAATAAATTTAAAATTTGCAGCCCACGCAACTGGGAAGCGAATCCAATCATCTTGCACGCAGTCCGCACAGCTACTTGACTTTTTGCCACCTGTTAAGTCGTTCATTAAACGGCTCTCAAAGCGCTTCCCCTCGCAGATGCAGGTAATAAGCGTCCGCACATAAAAAAAATTGTATATGCAAATATATAAAGTATACGCAACGTGGGCCCGCAGCAGGACCAGGAACTGGGCTGAGCATATAAAATGCCTTATTTTTATGAGGCTGCGAATGTGTCAAGCGTTTGTAAACTCATTAAAATGTACTCCACGCGCCGGCAGTTGAAAGTTATGCCCTGCGGCAAGTGGCAGCTGCAGTAATGTGTGTGGCATTAACTTGGCTACGTTTAACCTGCCGCAAGTGCTTTGCCAGTTTTTTAATTAAGCACATGAAATACAGTCGAAAATTGCAATGCAATCAAAATCGCTCAGTAAAGCACTTGATTTATGCTTCAAATTGTTGATGGCATTTTAAAGCTTGCCACAGAACTACAGCCAAATGTGGCAGGCGTTTAAATAAACATTTAGATGCTGAGCGAAGCCAACGAACGCATTACATGCAAACACTTGACTCAGCCAGACAGATGTACAAATATATACCCGAATACCCGAACTGGCAACTTCAGCGGAGCGTTGGGCGGGGCGGGGAATGGGTGGGCGGCGGCAAGGATTCAGTTGTTGCCTCTTCAGCTGCTGCTGTTTGCTGCTGATGATGTGCGGCAGGCAAAACCAAAGTGGCGCACACAAACACAAGCGCATAGTTGCTACAAATCATGTGTTGCCTCTGCCAACTCCCTCGCCAAACGGGAGAGTGTATGTGTGTGTGTGTGTGTGCTACAACATTTGTCCTGACTGGTCCTTGCGTCCTTCGTTTTTATTATTTTTTTCGTGCAGTTACGTAAATTATTGTCTGTCTCCCTGTTGCTCGCTCCTCCACTGTCACTTTTCACTACACTTCAGCTTTTATTTTTCGGGCGCGCGCTCTTCCTCAACACGCACACACACATACACACACGAGCACACACAGACACTGACTTTGTATACGCTTGTGCCTTCTTGTATTTTATTGCATATTCCCCATCCGCTTGTCTCCTATTGTTACTTAAAGACAGAACCCTCCAAAACTCTGCGCCGCATTAAAGTTGCCACATATTTGTTTTGCTTGCTTCCCGCTCTCTTCCTGTCTCTCACTGTCTCTCACTGTCTCTCTCTCTCTCTCTCTCTCTCTTTCTCTCTCTTTCTCTCTCTCTTATGAGCTGAGCGCAATTTGATAGTGTTGCATAGTTTTGGACTATCATTTTCGGGGCTAGCTTTAGGGCGCCCCTCGTTATTATAATGCCTGGGCGAAGTGGAAGCTTCACTAGCATTATAAGTAAGATGAATTGTCTGTAACTTAAGAGAGACAGAGAACGATTGAAAGAGGGAGAGTGAGAGTGAGAGAGAGAGGGAGAGGTATGCACGGCGAAAAGCTGGCGGAATTAGAATGTAAATTATGCAAGTGACATAGAAAAATGGCAAAAGATTCGAAAAAAAGGGAATAATAAAAGAAATAAAATGCTTGGCTTAAATTTAAAATGAAGCCGGCAACGAATTTATGTGGATTAGTTTATGGAGTATTCTTTTGTGCGCTGAAAAAGTCGAGGATTAACTGGAAAAAAATATAAATGAATATTGTTTGCGTGTGAAATTGCCAAGGGTCAGTTCTATGTGTAGAAACAAAGGATGTCGGATTCAAAAATAAAAAAAACCCTAACTAAATGTAAAAATTCTAACAATAGAGCCACAACGAATATTAAACATAACTCAGTGGAGCATTAAATACCTAAATGCTTAAGCCTACAATTGTAGCTGAAAACAAGCTAGATAGGAATGAAAATTTTAATTATTTGCAAATGTAGATATATATGAATATGGGGAATTATTATATTAAGGAAAAATTCACTCTTTATATCTAAGCTATTGAACAAGTAAGTAATAATGTATAATATTATACTATTATGTTATACTAAAGCTGTAAGTATTATTATTTTAGTAATAACGAATTTACAAAAATAAAACTAGACCATTTGAGTTGGAGCAATTTATTTAAATTGGAGCTATATCTACATTGTGTTTTCACTAGTTTTCATCCTTTAACGAATTGCACACAGTTTAAATACTTTAAGTTATGTTCTTTCGTTTACCTGTGTCAAAACAATTTTCAATAACCAACAAGTTTTTGTGCTCACGGGGCTGACAAAAATGCCAAAAATGTCGCACACAGCTGTGTGAGGCCAGGCCAGGCAAATTGATTGTGGCCAGCAAGAACGAACGGGCTAAAAATAATGGCAGAGCCACATGATATGGCAACGGTGGACAGGATATTGAGCAAAGGCGAGCATAGAGCTGCTTTGGAATTAATTCATTTAGAGCTCGTTAGACGAAAGAAAAGAGGAGAGTGAAAATAAATAAGAGCAACAACATTTAGAAAGCGGAAAAGCGTGTCTGAAGTCTGATTGCTGGAATCCTGCATCCTGTATCCTTTTTTGCACTTAAGTGATAAACAAATACACGCGCAGCTGACAAATACAAACACAAATGCGACTGCGAATGCGAATACATAAGCACAGTCTAGCAGACAGCCAGCACAGATCGAGTGTGAAAAGTGGCAGGCTACAAATGCAGCTCGAGAGTGGCAGCTGGGAGCACCACCCAAATGTCCTGGCCGCAGCAGCGTCTCCGACTGCATCATCAGCATAATCAACGCGCTGTTAAGCCGTTGGCTTTTTGCATCGTAAATTGCTGAGTGCTCAGTCCAAGTGCTGCCACAGCTATTGCTGCTACCAGCTGCCTGCTGCCTGCTCCATGTTGCTGCCACAGCACACACACTCACTTACCCACACACACACACACACACATACTTGAAGCTCATCAGGCAGCTGACTTTTGCTGCGTTGCCTGCCAACTTCCGTTTGTCTTTATTTGTCTGGCTGCTGCTGCTTTTGGCTTCGATATCTCCTACTCTGCTGCTGCCCCTGCCCCTGGCCATCACACTCAGCGTCCCTCTTAATGTTTGTTTACCTTACGTTAATGAAGTTGTTGGCCGCCCCAGCGAAAATGCTTGCGAAAATATTTTCGCAGCGTGCAAAAGGTATATCCAAACATATACATTAAAAATATGTGTAAGAGAAAAAAATAAGTAAAAATAAAAGCAATTAGTTTGTTCATCACTCAACAGCTGGCCGGGCAAAATGAAAATTTTTAAACAGCGCCCAGCTGCCCCGCCTCCCATTTTCCTGCACATTTTCTGCGACTCTTATTGTGAATGAAAGTGCGGAGACAGCAGCAGCAGCAGCAGCAGCAACAGCAGCAAAATAATAATTATGCATGCTGGAAAATAATAAAAGAAAAGAGGAAAAATAACAGAAATATAATAATAATAAGTAAGCGAACCACTGAAATAATGTAAATATGCCACAAGCGCATTTCGCTGGCCTCGCCAAAGGATACAATGAGCTTCACGATGAGCTGTGCCCCCAAAAGAATGTGCGAATATTATTGTTGCTATTGGTGTGAATAGAGAGCATTGGGATTGGTGCGCCTGAAGAACTCTTTGCAATAAACAATGGCAGATGGTTTCTAGCTAAATATACATTTTTATATGGACAACAGATTTTTTAAAGGAATTCTATATTTCTTACTGGATAATAGATTCAGTTTTTCCATTAATTTTCTATTCCTAAACTGAGTTTTCAAGAATAATATATAACATATAATATCATATGATATTATATAGGCTGAGTACAAATTCTTTGTCCTAACAAATACTTAACATACTTATAAGTCCCTTTGAAATTACTTAATCTATATTTTTTTAGAGTCTAATAGATTCAAAGATTGATTCCCAGACTTATGCGAATGCGAATTTTTATTGCCAAATAATATTTTATTAATTTATTTTTGTTGCCTAGTTTAATTTGTTTATATTCCTGATTGAGTTCTTTCATTTTATTCTTCACTCCACATTTGCATGTGACCCTCGGTAGAGTATCTCGGATGCGACTTGAAGCGTTGACAATGGCATATTCTGTGCACTTACCTTGAGGAAAAACAATCCGCCCGCTGGTAGGGTTATGCGATGCGAGCCCGGCAGTATCTTTAGCGGTACGCCATCCTTGTACCATTGAATTGTGGGCGTGGGAGAGCCCTCTGCCTTGCAATTAAGCGTCGCTGGCTCGTGTCGTGGCACCGTCGTATCTATGGGATGCTCCACTATTCGCGGCGGATGTGAACCTGGAGAAGGGATGCAGAATGAGCAATGAAGAGGTTAAAGCGCTTTTTATACAAATTGCACTGGGATTGTATATGCAAGACAGGGCAGGGGAAGGGGTATATATGGGGAGTTTCCTTTTTCCGCTGCGTCAGTCGCCAGTTGCCAGTTGCCAGTCGTCAGCGGTTTGGCAAATGTTAAAAGATCTCCCTGGCAAATGAAAACAATGTTAATGCGCATTGCCGTTGACGTTGCAAATGAAGTTGCAGTTGCAATTCAACTGTCGCAGAGCGACCAGATGTAGGGCAGCGGCAGGGGCAGGGCAGGATTTTATATCAGCATTCGCCCGTGGCGGGTGTTCAAAGGTTCAGTTTGGAATTAATTTGTGTGAATTTGCATATGCGGCAAAGAACCGCAGCGCAGCTTAGCAGTTAAGTAGTTTTTTGTTTTTGCATAATGCGAAACTGCTAAATTAACTAGAAGAGGGGCAGTGCAAGCAGCGGCGGGAGAAGGGGAGTGTAGCTAAGACCTGGGCACAGGTTGCCATGGAAACAGCCGAGTTGCTCAAAGGATTAACATAGTTTTAGTTTCATTTACGTGCATTCCAAATGCAGCTTACAATTCTCTGACAAGGCAAATAAATAGGGCAATATTTGACTTACAACCAGGACGGATTATTACGGAAAGAATCTAAGAGATGAAGAATTTCAAATAATTGACACTTGGTCTTGAAAATCACAATTAAAAATAAATGAAATGGCATGTATATAAAAGAGTGAACATTTCAAATTAGGACATTAAAATAAAAATGAATTTTATTTAGTTTAAATTGGTTTCAAGTTTTGAGCACTTTTAATATGGAATAAGAAACAAAAATTAAGAAATGTAAAAGTGCAATTCTGTGTAATTTTAGCCTTGCAAATATTCAGGAAAAAGAGAAAACATAAATGTTAAAAAATGGAAAATAAATTTGTTTGATTCTGTTAGTTTTAACAGATACAATTGGCACAAAATAAAAGTGGAGAAATAAAAATTTATAACAAAATTGTTTATAAAATTGTAAGTTTCATATTTTCACATAAATGTTATATTGAATGCACAAAAATGAGTTATTTAGAGTTAAATTTAGAGTTAAATGAACTCAAAGCTATAAAGGTATCCAATTTGTCAATATATTTGGTGCTGACAATGTTAAGTATTTGAAGATAGCTTTCAATTTCATTGAGTTAAAAGCTACTTTTCCTTTAATGTGACACTTGTTTTAAATTATAGAATAAAAAGTTGAGCAATTACACATTTAAATATAAATTTGAATTTCAAATATTTGAATGATAAATTATTATATATTATTTAAGTGCAAATCAGCAGCAAAATTCCTCTCGATTCGGATAAGTTGTGAAAAGAGAAGGGAAGCAGATAGGCCGGATTAACACTTGCAAATCTGCTGCAAAGCAAAAAGTGGTATATTTGATGTCAACCCTTTTGCCCCAATCGTTAAACAGTGCTCAACACGTTTGTCTTGCCACAAAGTTTATGTGTGGCACATAAATCGTATGTTTAGTCATAAGCAATCTGTCAGTGGTAAATACATAAATTTCAATTTTCCTGTCATATATAAACAATTTGCTGTCACACACGCACACCCTATCGCTAACAGAACACAACTCACGCAACTTGGGCGACGACGGAAAACTTTATTTATATCGCAGCATAAATCTATAAAGCTGTACAAAAATATATATATCTATGTATATAAATGTATCTGTATCTGCAGCTGTAGCTGTTGCTGTTGGTGTAAGCTCGCCGTTTGAAAATTGATATGTCAGAAAATGTTGGAATATTGAAACGTTATTAAATAAGGAAAAACGCAGCTGTTGTTGTTGCTGCTGATTGCACATTGCCAGCAACATGACAACAACAATAGCAATAACAGCTACAACAGCAACATTGACAGCAGCAACAACAAATTCACAGCTGCAGGCAAAAGTTGCATGTCATGCAGCAGACGCTGCACAAAGTCGAGCTGTAAATCGAATTGAAATTGGGGGGTGGTGGAAAAAAAGGCGAATCCCGAACTCCGAATCCGCATCGAGCTGAAGGGATGTCGAGACGTGTTGCATGTTGCCGGCGGCTCTCCCAGGCAAGACGCATGTCAATGTTATTTCAGCAATGAAAAAAAAACATGCTGAAGTGCCAACTGGCGTTGGAGTGGAGGCAGGGGCAGGGCAGTTATGGCTGGGTCAAAAATCAACACGCAAACAAAACAGGAAAAAAAACGAACGCCAACAAATGAAACTGAAGTTGAGCCAAAATGTGTTCAATGCGCACATTTTGAGGGTTAAATGTCGCATGTGGGTGGTGCTCTGTTCATTTTTTTATTTTTTTTGGGACCAAACGTTGCTGGACCGTGTACTTTTTTTTTGTTTTTAGTGCTTACATATCTTTGCTGACCAGACGAGGATCAAGAAGCGAACTGGCTTCTGGTTGCGTTTGTGGTTGATGCCCTGCGGAAATATTCAACACCTAAAAAAGGTTGTTTTTACAAATGACAAACAAGGGCGGCTGGGCAGGGGTAGAGCCAAGAGAGGGGGTTATAAGGAAAACGTTGTTTCACTCTGTGTATGTGTGTGTGTGTGTGTCTGTATGGGCACATGCGTGTACCAGAAGCTCGTATTTAAATATCAATTCAAAAGATTAGAAGTCAAGATTGATCAATTACAACAGACGATGGCGGAATTACAATTTGCTTAATAAGCTGAAAACTTAGTAAAAGAAATTGTTTAGATAACAATAAACCATTTTGAGAACTTAGTTATACTTATATTTATATATATTATTTTCAGGTTGTTTTCATATGAGCTTTATGATGTGAAAGCCCGATGTTGTCAAGATATCGAAGCCGAACTTACAAAAATATTTCTCAGGCCATAATTCGAAGCGTAGTAAAGTTGGCGAATGATGAAAATTCATAAAGGTAGCAATCGCTTCTAAATGATATGTTGTTTCGTTGTTGATGGGACTATGTTTATATATTATGAGTTTTTATGCCAAGTTTGGCTAAGAAATCGGGATAAACAATACACATGTTCAAAAAATAATTCAATTGTATGTCATCTAGGTAGCTTGATATAGACATGGATTGATATATGATGGTAAGAGAGGGGTATCTGCCCAATAGGTGTGTCCATTGGGAGAGTCAATTAGGAGAGTTCAGACTATATCTATATTTAAAGATATTTTCAAAAATATGCGTAAAGTCCCAGTAAAGTTGAGCTTAACTTTAAGTTTACTAACTTTTCCATCTGAGTTGTTTTCCCTGCCTTTGTTCTCAGCAAACTGAAACGAAGTACTAGTACATGCAATATATTTTGGGCCACCCGCTAGATAAATTTGCTTAGCAGCAGCTGTTGTTGCAGCACATAAATTATGGCACAGAATTTAATTATCGCACTGGATGGACGTGCAGCAACTACTCGTAACACAGTTTCGTCTGTGTGTGTGTGTGTGTGTGTGCTTGCCCAAAAGTATGCTACTAAAACAATTAGCAGCGCCCTAATTAAAACAACAATCTAAAGAGCCAGCAACAAGGAGAGTGCCTCCAGGGCACTTGATTGATGATGTAAGAGGCGAGAACGCCTCAAAGTATGCAGCACATGAGGCAAATGCGGCGACGCGTTGAAGTCGCTCAGTTCTTGGCTTTGTTTTTCCTTCCGTCTGTGTTTTTGCTTTTTTATTTTTTTGGCCGCCAGGCAACAAACAATGCAGGCAACAAAAGCAAGCATGCAAATGTGTGTTATTTCACACACACACACACACACATGCACACATGCACAGCGTGCTGAAACAAAAAGAAAATGTTTAAGGAAATTGCTGCAAATATTTTGCTTGTTAAGTGAAACCCAGTTTCGAAAACCGTTGTTGCCAGCGACCAAAACTGCACTCAGAAATGCTCTTCAGGCATTTTTCGCCATGCCAGGGTCGAGCACTCGACGGCACTCACAGGACGTCTTCGTCTTCGTCTATGACGACGTCTTCGCCTTCGTCCTTCATTCTTCGTTCCGGTTTCTTTGGGTTATTTCTCTAGTCCTTTTGGCGCTTGGCAGTTTTGCATTTTGCATAAGCGCTTGGAAATGCCTTTGTCGTTTTAGCAATTTATGCAAATTTCGTGCATTTTCCCCATGTTGTTACATTCTTTGTACGCCTGGCCAACATATACACAAACCACACACAACAACCTATATATGCATCCTGTGTACATACATATATATATATATGTATATATGTAGGGTAAGGACTGGCATGCAATTAAAACTAAATTAGTAGGCCTCTGGGCTATGGGCTGTGGGCAGTGCGAGTTTCTGAATGCAGTTTTCAGTTTGCTAATTGAATTATTTAGTTGCAAGTCGTTTCATTAAATGCACACGCAAAGTTTTAGCCTGCAACAACAATTACAACAACGACAAGAATTGCAACGTCAACAAACTGCGAAATCAGCACAAAGTTGTTGTGAGATTTTTTAACTATATTCCAACCCAGTTTTAAAGTATTTGATTATGCTCATGAATATACAATGGATATGAAAAATATATATTTACAATTATTCTGGGCTTAAATTTTCGTTTTATTTTATCGTTCGACTTATTTATTTATTGAATTCTTTTATAGTAAATTTTTAAATTATTCCGAATATATTCGGAATTAGAATAAACAGCTCGCGTGAATTATTGTCCCTTGCAAAGTCTTTCAATATCTTTACTTTGTAGTATCTGGCCGTATTTGGAAGGAAAATTCTCGACATAATTTATATATGTCTTATAACGATATTATTTAGATAACGAATATTATTATATCACATTTAAAAATAAAAACACAGCCATTATAATCCTCATTGGATAGTATATAAAAATTACCTTAATAAAACCAAAATTATTTCAAGTATTCTCTTAAGCTTTAAGCTTTATGATATATTTGTCCGCATACCATTTCTTTTCTATTCCAACTTTACGTTCAACCACCCGAAATT